CATCACACTTTAATAAGTTTACTTTGAATGTTGGGTTTTCTTTCTTTTCTCTATTTAATTTTTGTAATGAGTTCTGCAAAGACTTGTCTATACTGTTGTATTATTATTTATTTATTTAGTATCACCCAGATCAGAGGTGGTATTCAGCAGGTTCTGATCAGTTCTGGAGAACCGGTAGCGAAAATTTTGAGTAGTTCGGAAAACTGGCAAATACCACCTCTGACTGGAGATTTTATAGTCTCCTTCCCCTGCCACGCCCATCAAGCCACGCCCACAGAACCGGTAGTAAAAAAAATTGAATCCCACCACTGACCCAGATATTGATTTTCATTTTTTTCCCTGCATGGATCAACATAACTAGCCCTGTGTGTGTGTGTGTGTGTGTGTTCATGAAAATAAATATTTGCAATGTAATATTTAATATTAATATTCTGACAGAGGGAGGTTCTGCATTTACTTTAGAAAACTAAATATAAACCGAAGAAACTTCATTTGTAAGATCCCCTTTTGTGATCACATAAAAGTCATTGACCAAAAAGTACACGATTTGAATATTCAACTCTCCCACCCCTCAAATCCATGGATTTCAAGAGAATGAAACTAAAGTGAATTTTATCCGGACTGAGCATAGTTGTTTAGCTTTGAAGATGCTGTGATTCATTTTCACTGAAAAGGATGTGTGTCTCCTTAAACTTGGCATTTCCCTATTTCATATTTGAATTAGTCCAAGTGAAATTAGCACAACTCTTGTAGAACCTCCTTCCATAATAATAAATGATAAATATAGGGGATCAAGCAGCTCTGCAAATACCTATGTCAATCTGACAGACTGATTTCTTTGTTCAATATAAGATTATCTTGTTTCAGTTCACTGATAGTGGGAGTTTGGGGGTTTTTTCCTTTTCTTTTTTTGGAAATGCTAACTGAAATAGAATAAAATTGCATTTGATACTATACTTCAGATTAAAGGCTTTCTACCTATTTTCTAGATGCAGGCTGAAATCATACATTTGCCTTGAAGTAAATTCACTGTCAGTCACACAGATTTTGATGTTCATGATAAAATTGTTGTATCGTTTAGTACCATCTGGGTTGCCAAAATCTCAGTGACCATTAGATGACAGGATACTGAAAAAAACCCTCTCCAGATACTTGTACTCTAGATATGGGTAGTTCTAAATAAGGCCATGCATTTTGAATTTCTAATCAGTGGTTACTCACATTTCCTACTGATAACCTGTTCTCTATACATTTTAAGTCGATCATGAACATTCTGCCCAATTCCAGGGCAATCAATCCTGCTGATGAGTAAATTCTGTTAAACTCAATGAGATTTACAGCAGTCTACTAGTAATCCAAAACCAAGTTTCAGTATATCTCATAGATTTCATATTTTGCATCATATCATCTAAACATTCCAAAAGGTGTTTCTTTATTTGAAATGGGATGCATATTGAAAAATAAATCACATTTCTCCAAACTTTGAACTGTATTTACATACATTGGTTTGATACATTGTTTCAGCTCAGAATGCCCAAAATCACATTATGGCAACTAATCTGCAAAAGCCAGTATTTGCATCTGAGGTTACTTTTTAAATTAACAGACTTTTTTTCCCAGAAGATAACATAAAAAACATGAGATGATACCCTTTGTGCTAGAAATTTAAAATAACATCATTTGTATTATTGAAAAGCAGATATATGACACAGAATATTATTTTTCACTTGTTTGCAACATCAGTATAAAGGCTATTTTCTCTAGAATATTATATAGTATCACTGAATCTCAGGTAAGCACCATATAAAAAGGGTAAAAATACCTAAATGTATGTATGCAAACCATCTGCTATTACTAGTTCACAAAACTTCCTTTCTAAATTCTGGATCAGGTTATATAAAAGGAGTGTGTGTTAAAAATTAATGTTTTTGTATTTGTATCATAAAAATATGGCAGCATCTGGTTGACCTTTTTAGGACCTGGAAAGTAAGTAGGTAGAATGTAGGTAGTTCTTGGGTGAGAAGTAAAATAACCCAGAAGTTCCATAGAGCCCAGTAGGGGCTCTGGTGGTGCAGAGATTAGACTGCAGTATTGCAGTCTAATTCTGCCAATTGCCAGCAACCTTGATCCTGACCAGCTCAAGGTTGATTCAACCGTCCATCCTTCCGAGATCAGTAAAATGAGAATCCAGATTGTTGGGGAAATATGCTGACTCTATAAATTGCTTAGAGAGGCCTGTAAAGCACTATGAGGCGGTATATAAGTGCTATTGCTATAGCTATCTCCCAGACATGTAAATATAGTTACTTTTCCCTAAGTAACCATCTGTGGACACATGAAATATAAAATATTTCTTCATAACATGAGATTTTTGCTTAAATGTGCAATCCTATAAATGTTTGAAAGAGCTGTGCATGCTTTCATTGTCTCTCTGCTACTAATGCCATACCTTTTTTAGACATCCATGTAAGACTGAAAAAAGATGCAGATGCTTTAAGGAGTCAACTTATTAATCTAGCTGTTAAAACAGCATGATAGCATGAAAAGACAATGACGACTTTAATGAACAGCAGAAAAATGTTCACACAAGATCCAAAGTACTTATGAAACATTTTCAAAGTTTGTAGAGCCTAGAGGTAACGTCTACTGCCTTCAAATTGTTGTAGGATTGCAGATTAAATTTACTGTGTTAGAACTGCAACATCTAGGAGAGGGCTCTTTTTAAAAAACCTATTGTACTTTTGAACAAAATTGATAATGAAGTATCCTATGTTGGAGGAGATAAAGGAAGCTATTTTATGTACTTTATTCTTAGAATCCCGTAAGATTGAAAAAAAGCAAAGAAGTACCTCAAAAAACAGGAAACAGGATGTCTCACTTAATGTCCATCACTTTGTCAGACAGCAACTGTAATGGGCAGTCTCTGTTATGGCTGTAAGTCAAAGACTAACTCTATTTTAGATATACAGAAACAGATACACACACAGACATACAAAATGATGATAAATTCTTCTCAGTCCCTTAATTACTTTTTAAGTTCAGCTGCACCTTTTATCTCAGGTGCCATGATTATAAAATAACTAAGTAGCAATTTCTACTACACTCAATTGAAAGATATCACCTAGACTAGATTCCAATTAAGAAAACTAAGAATCATTTTTCTTACTACTGTGGCCATTTCAGTCTGAAAAATAAAACACTGCAGATTTGCGGAGCATTATGTGATATGTTGTTCAGTAGATATCCCCATTAGCAAATATGACTTGATATAGAGTTTTTCCTCTGGATTGTAATAAACTAAGAAGTTGGAGATAAACTCTTATTTTTGTATACTTAAATATTGAAGTGCAAGTGTTTGAACCAACCACAATACACTCAATATATATTTAATACTTTAGTCCAAAACCTTCTAAAACATACTCAGGGATGGAAAAGATATTCTTTCATTGATAAGACAGAAGGAAGCCAGAAATACTATTGTTCTTCCCATCTATGTTAATTTCAAATCTTAAATATAAGTATTGAAATATCTACTTATGATAGCCCGCTTGTCATAATTTGGTCACATTTCCCCCAAATATAAGATTGCGCCTATCAGAATGACTATAGTTGCAATTCTTATACCTGGTATTTTTGTACAAGTGAGCTTTTTGAATTGCCCATTAGCTACATTCTCAACTGGAGAAGTGTGGAAGCTAATACTTTGTCATTTCTGTAGGGCTAGAGTAAGAACTGAAACTTTATAGAGACCTTCCATAATTTATCAGGATAAGAATGTATAGAACTGCACGCAAATATTTAATATTTCAATATTTAGACACCGTGCTGTGTCTAATTTGACTTTAAGTAGATCATATTGAATTTTATTTCATGAAAAACAAGATAGATTTGGAAGATTACACATCCTTCAAAACAGAACATCCAGATTGAAAAGCATAGCATATATTACTTTAGTAATTAGTAATTGGGAAATATTATATTGTAAATGAATAGCTCAAGGGCTTTGATTCTTAAAAGGGTTTTAGAACTCTTCTGTTATATTAAGATTCCAAATATCACGGGACAACCAGAATATTCAATTAAGCTGACAAAAATAAATGTAACATAGTTTAAATATTCAATTGGACATTATTATGTATGGGTTTATTTAAATATCTGTTCAAAGAAAAATAATTTTGATTATAAGTTGTATGAAAAATATTGCGTAAGACATGACCCCTCCAAAAAATGATAGGAAATATTGGTAAAATTATCTAATTAAGTACTTTAAGATATTCTATATAAAACAATGTGATAAGGAGTTTGCAAACAGAAAAACATAAATCAAGTAAAACCACAGTAAGAAATATTATAGGCTAGGGACAAATTTAAATGAAGAAGTGCAATGAGTTGTCTTTAGTATGCTTCTTCCAACAAATCTCATATAAAAAAGAACATAACTTTTTAATAATATTATTCTGGTAAGTCAGTCAATTAAGATTTTCTGCTTGTAAAGTAAGGATATGAAAACTGGTATAACTCAGGGGTGTGTCACGTGCTGGCCACGCCCACACCCGGTTTAATGAAGAGGAAAAAAGTCGCAATATGTCAGTGACGACAAGTTTGACACTCCTGGTATAACTGATTACAATGTAAAATACCACAAGTTAGATGACTGTTGAATTAACAAAACAATCCAGAATTTTAATTCAACGCCACTGCTTTCTTTGGAGTGGGTTATTCTCATTATTTAGAATATTAGTACAATGCTTCAATATAGCAAGATACATTTCATACATTCATTTCATAACAGCCTTCCACGTTTTGAGATGAAAACTGTTGCAAAGCAGTATGTAAAAGCTATATGAAAAGTTTGTATCTTGGTAAATTCTTCATCATTCTGTTTTCTTCTTGCTTCTTTCTTCCTCCCTCTACAGCAGCATATACAATTCACCAAAGCAAGTATTTTCTACACTCATTATCTCTTGGATGATCTACATTCAGAAGTAACCTGAAAACTTAATATCCCCACTAATAAATATACATACAAATAAAATGTAGTGGAATTTTAAAACTGACAGTGTGAGATATGTCTTTTGAGGTCAAATATGCCTTTCCTAAGTTTAAGCAGTAGCCCAAACCCAGAACAGCTGAAGTACTTCTCTAAAGCAACCACAGATGGTGTCAAAACTGGACAAAATCCAGGGGCTGAACTGATGCTCTTGTACTCGTCCTCCTTTACTTGGCCAGCCTTTGATCACTGTTCCTCTTACTTCCAGAAGTGCCTCTTGAATTTGATCTATAACAACACACACAAAATATGATCTGAGTAACACAGCAGCATTCTGTGCTTGCAAATTACAAACAAACCTATTGCTTGTTCTTTTAAATGCAATACTGCTGATGAAATGGAAAGTTTCTCCTTCACAATATTTTCACAAAAGAGCATGTTAGCAAACATCTTGCAACAAATTGCATAAGTCGTCTTAAACTTTAGTTAAGACTCTCACTGCCCTCAATATATCCCTATTACAATACTGTAAAGCACACGATCACCAACTGGTTTGGGTCTCATTGCTGGGAAGTTACAGATGATTACATGCCAGTCACCAGAAAACTCTAATTTACAGAGAACATATGCGTAATTGCTGCTTTACATGAACAGGTTGCCATCCCAGATGAGAGACCATTCATGTAACGTACTGAATTAATTAATCTCTAATTCTTTCTACTCATTTTTCAGCCCTAAGGTTTTGGGGGAAATTATTTGTAGGTGGAAAAAAAAATCCAAGTAAAGATTTGGTATTGTATGAAGCGGGGGAGAGGGGAATCAAGGAATCACAAACAGGACCCCTCTCTTTCCTTACCCCAGTGCCTGAATTCAACAGTATCCATAGTACATACAGACCATAATGGAGCCTGCCAATCACAGCCATAAATCATAAATTGGATCACCCTCTGACTGACCTGATTTTGCTACCTTTTTTGAAGTGGTTAACAGAACACCATGGTTGCAAAGCAAACATTGCGGTCATTAAGTGAATCCATTGTTTGCTATGGAACACTTTTGCCGAAAATTGAAGATGCTGTTTTTCAGTATGAACATCACAAACCATGGTCACATGACCACAAGACACAGCAAATGGCCATAAATTAGGCCAGTTGCTAAGCACCATGTGACAATGTGGGGAGGGGGGAACCAATGGAACCAGGTTGTAAATACCATTTGGGTGCTTTGGCGTAACTTTGACTGGTTGTTAAAGGCCAGGTTATAAGTCAAGGACTACCTGTATACTGCAAGAGGATCACAAGAAGCTGATTAAGAATTGAATTATTCAGTTTAGTTTTAAACACAAGAATCTGCAAAAGACAGTTATCCAATTTTCCAGCAAATGCAGTCCTTGTAACTCCTTACTTTTTGCAGGATACCAAACCAGGGCTTGTAGGAAAAGATATAAAGTCCATGCAGGGCCATTTTTTCCCCACATGCTCTTATTATTACCCCACATGCCTCTGCATATGTACGCAGTATATGTAAGAAAGCTCCTACACGTGAAGATCAGGGACAAAATGGTCTCGGGTGAGTGGAGTCTCTCCTTCCCCAGGTGTCGGTCGGAAAAGCAGCAGCTGCACAGCAAAGGTGGGCGCTCCTGCGGAACAAAAGAGGCTTCGAGCTGCTGCCGCGCTTCGCTTGTTTGTTTTGTGAGAAGCTCCCCTCCGACGCGGGGAGAGCTGGAAGGGGGAGAGGCGGGGTGGGGGAGAGAAGCCCCCCCAGCGCCCTTAAGTGGCCGAGGCCAAGTGCGGCGACTGCGGGCACAAGGCGGAAAGCGGGCAAAGCGAGTATACCTGTCGGGGCGGCCCGTCTAAGCGGAGTTGGAGGCGCTCCGGAGGCGGGGTCCGAGCTGCTGGACGAGGAGGTGTTGCTGCTTCTGACGGGTCGACCTGACCGCCAGGATGGCCTGCCGGTTTTTGTACTGCACGAGTTGCAGCGTGATCTCGGCGTTCCAGCCTTGATCCTGCGGGCACCGAAAGTCGATCTCCTTCCCCTCGGCCATCACTACCGTGAAATACATGTACTTGCCCTTCCGTTCCACGCAGTCCACCGTCTTCATGGTGGAGAAGGGCAACTGCTTGATCTTGGCGGCGGCCACCGCCCTCTCTCCGTTGGCAGGAGAAGAAGTCGCCGCCGCCGCCGCCGCCGGCTCCTGCTTGGGCGGGATAAGCAGAAGCCCTTCCTCGGTGAGGATGCAAAGCTTCTTCTTCCAGAGCTGCAGCAAGCCGTCGCTGCGTTTCTCCAGCACGCCCTCTTTCACCGGCTTGCCGCCGCTCTCCAGCATCCTCCCGCCGCCGCCGCCGCCGCCAAAAACTTCCGAAAGGAGTGAAAAGAAAACGCGCGCCTGGCAAGCGGCGCACAGATGAGCGGGATTTCCCGGGACGCGCCGGAAAGGCTTCGCCTTCTGCCGAACGACGGCCAGGTTTAGCCGCGCGGCTTCTGGTCCCGCCGCCGGTCTTTCCTCAGAACCGCTGGAGGAAGCGCCTTCCGTCCCCCTCCCGTTGTTTTTGAAAGCGGCTTTCTCATCTCAGCGGCACCAGGTTTTGGGGAGGGGGGGCGGGGCGAAGGAAAGGCGGGGCGGGGCCTGCCGAGGAGGTTGGCCGAGGAAAGCCCGGCCGTTTCATCCTCGCCTACTCGGCTCGTGGCTCCTTTCTCCTTTCGCCCTCAGGAGGAGGTTCCCAGTTCTCAACAGCGCCAAAGAACAAAGCCTTCCTCCGGTGGAAGCGGCACGTTCTCACTCTTGGAACTCAGGAGGCCCCTCCGGCCAACTTGAGGCTGGAGAAAGGCCACTTTTGAGCTATCACTGACAGCGGCAGGGTGGCGTCTTCAGGGATGCCTGAACCCAACACGGAAAACCTTCCCCGTTTATTTGTTTGCGTTTGTGTTGTAATTATTATGAGAAATGCCTAATGTGATACAAACAAACCCAATCCTTGCCTGCTACTTGGATGTCATTCATACGAGCTAAAAAGCATCCACTATATAGGATTCAAAACCTAACAGGAACATTCACTTCCATTTCTATTATAGAGTAACAGCCAAGTTATTGGTAATAAATCATAGCATACACATAGCAGTGCTATGCAGCATACACGTAATAAGTTATTTAAAGGGAAAGAGACTTTACTCATTATTGTTTAGAAGTCTACAATTGCAAAATGCTCATCATTGCTACCTTTGCTGCTAACAATTCCCATTGCTGATGTAATAGACAATCTTCCTAGTTCTATAAATATGAAATGTACTTATTTTGTATTTATTTTGCCTGAACATCAAAATAAAGTCCTGAGAAACAAAATTGTATGTACTTCAGTAGGATAAGATTACATTTCAGAGTGCTGATGTAAGAATCTCCAGGCCTTAAAATTTCCCTACTTGTTTCCTCACTTTCAGTATTGCCATCTTCCCCTGAAAATGGGCCTATTTTATTCACTGATGGGTTATTCGGAAAAAACTAATTACTGTAGATTGAAAATGCCATAGCTGAGCGGCCATATTCTACAGGTCATATTAGTAGTACTTAATCTGGATGAATTATCTAGTCATTTCACAACCTAAACCAGCTCAGAACCAGAGTATAAACCTCTTCTTTCTCTTTCCAATTATTAATTCAATATCTAAAGCTTTCCTCTTATGCCAAGTATATGAAATATTTTGAGAAGAATTTTTGGAAACAGAACCTATGAAGTTACCCTTTGCCAACATCTGTTCTATAGTTGTAACAATAGCCCATGATTGAAATAGGAAAATATCCTCCTCAAATCATTTCTGCCATCTAGTTGGCCCATTACTTCAAAAATGTCTTTCAATAAAGACCTACAGTAGCTAGATACAAATCATTCATTTGCTCTGTACTACATAGAAAATAAAGATTATTAACCAGTGAAATTCTTCATGGAAAAAATAGGCTTTTAACAGATTTCTAAGAACTAAAGATTCTAGAAAGAAGCGGTAGCTAAGCAGAAAAGCTGCTAAAAGAGAAATGCGGATCACAGTACTGTAATTGAATGCATAATTCAGAGAATTTTTTTAAAATGAAGAAATCTTGATAAGAAATCAGTATAGTTTGAAATAGAAATCACATGCTCCAAGTAACGTAATTATTTTATAGCAGCAGAATCCAGGACAATTATAATGCTGGGTTCAACGGATGTTCACAGAAAAAGCCCAGAAATGGTTAGACATGAGATTACTGGAATTGATTTGTGAGTTTCTGCAAAATAAAGGGCCATATTTTTGCTTTGTTAGCTAACTACAGGGAGAAAAGGGAAGGGAAGAAATCAAAGATAATACATTGCTACTTACATATGGATGGAGGCATCTGAGTATTTGCTGTTTTTACCTATCATTTAACTACATAAATAGCACAGCTGAGATTTCCAAAGAAATCTTGAACCCAATTCTTCTGTCTTGAAACTCTTGTGTAAATATAAATTTTAAGGTGTATGTGTGCACAGGGAGGGAGAGGGAGAGAGAGAGGGGGAGAGAGGAGAGAGAGAGAGAGAGAGAGAGAGAGAGAGAGAGAGAGAGAGAGAGAGAGAGAGAAAGAAGAAAGAAAGAAAGAAAGAAAGAAAGAAAGAAAGAAAGAAAGAAAGAAAGAAAGAAAGAAAGAAAGAAAGAAAGAAAAGAAAAGGAAACCATAAGAACATTGCTTGTTTTTATGGGAAGCTCCTAGATTTAAAAATATAGATACCCAAGCCTGCAAACAGAATTGGGTACACTTATCCAAATTTCCTTACAGATCTTATCTTTTATTATGGCATATATTTGAAAGCCTTTGGTTACTCATTTTTAATAACCTTTTTGGAAATATAAAAAAGCTTTGACTCATTTTCTTTTTGTACATGCTCGCTCTTAGTTCCATTTTACCATTTACTATTTTCTTGAATTTATGTGCCTATTCTTTCTGCACAGTCTGTCCTCTTTCCCCATGTAACTTTTTGTGTTTTGACTTCCCATCATTAAAATCAGAAATTATAAACCATCAAGGTCAGCAACAAAAAACGAATTTCAACAATGTGGCTAACTTGGCGTATATGTTCCATCCTGCATCTCAATATAGGGGCCAATGTAAAATTCTGTTTCATGACTTCCCATATTATAGTGCTGCAACAGGCTGGAAACAGTATTAAGAATTCTTGTGGAGGTAGACAACCTTGTTTGCATCTGTCTGCGACCACATTCATTGCATACCAAAAGATCCCTGGTCTCTTCAAAGATGCTACCAGATGTTTACAAACAAATATCAAATGCTGAACTGACAATCTGGAAAACTAGATTCAAATTCACTTCCATCATGGAAATTCATTAAATGACTTGGGCCAAGACCCTATCTAGGATAACAGGATTGCAATTATTTGAGTGGAGTAGAATGAGGCAGAATGAAAAATGCCCCTAAATTTTTTATCACTTCAGAAAGCAAACCCATCTAACATTCAGAGAACTCTATTTCCATTATGTGAGGAAATGGAAAGCTGCTACTTCAGATAAATGATGTGCACAAAGTCTATGCCTGCAGTTTTATTTGTAAGATCATTAATAGTTTTGATTAATACACATGGAACAGTATTATTTTTACCAGCTTTTCAACACTACTGTATCAAGATAGTTTGATAAGACAGTGTAGCACATGTACGCCTCCTAGTGTCAAGCTTAACTGTACGCACATTTCTGATTTGCTTAATAGGATATGCTGTGTTTTAATCATACAACTAAACCATGCAAAAATTTCTTAGCAATTTTTCCTTGAACAAATAATCATTTAAGAAAACACAAGCATTTAAGAAAACTGTCAATATTCTAAGTCAATCTTAAATGGAATTTTAGGGTCATTTTACTTCTTCATACTCCCACAAAAAGACAAAACTGTAACTCAAGCCATTCAAATATGACATTTCAAGCTATTTAAAATATTTGAAATATTACATGATAACCAAAGGGCATAAAATTGAACTGAAAAATGAATTACTCCTCCCCCAGTAGGTCTGGGGTGGCATCTCAGCTCTCAGATATGGCATCTTGAAACCACTTGCATACTACTGTATGGAAAACTTTATTATATTTGTATTTCAATCAATGCCTTTGGGAATGCAAGCTGAGATGATTAATACACAGTATAATGTTAAACATGACACTTCTATGAATCTGAGTGTTTATGCATAGTTAAAAAATGAATATAGAGATGCAAAATTCCTATCAGTACTCCATGACACCTTGGCAGAATTATTAGCTTCCAAGCATTAGTACAGGTTGCTAAGTGTTCCCATTATTGCTGTCAGAATTTCTATTTACTACTTTTCTTTGCAAAAATAGTCTGACTCAAAAATATTCTTTGGGCCCCTTGCATTTACTGCTTAAAGTTCCTCAGATTTTGAACAATATTTTAATTTGGTGACTGTGACAGCCATTCAAAGCTTTTCTCTCTCTTCTGTATTTCAGTTGATTTGAAGGCTATGTTTCAGATCACTGCCTCGCTGAAATATCCATTCTTTTTCAGCTTCTCTTTGATCAACAGCAGCTAGATCTTCTCATGCAAATATAGCAGTTCCAAGTGTTTTGTCAGATTCTGAGATGGTAATTGGGCAGTGTTGTTATTATTTACATTGGTAACTGAGAGTGGAACATTTGAATTTACAGAAAAACACAAGGTTGGTCTATCTTCTGTTCCCTTGAATGTGCAATGATTTGACTATTCTGATTTCTGAACTGCTGAACAGAGCTATTATGCTTAGAAAACTTAAAGCTCCACTGCAGGGCGCCCAGAGCACATTTCATTAAAAAAAAAAGACAAGCACATCTATCACAAACACACATTTTCAAGTTTATTGCCAAAGATAAAAAAAGGTTGCTATTTTTTTTATCATTCCTCCCATACATGTCAGAATGGGAAGACATTTGTTTCCTCAATAACCTTAACTGTTCCACAGATGTATTAATAAAACGTATCATATCGTATGATCCCATTATCTGAACCTGGATCTTTTTTTAAAGCTTATGGTTTCCATAATTTCTTCGACAAGCCATGCTAACAGTTTCTAGGTGATTTCTATCAATGGCATTGCAATCAGAAGTACAAAATGGGATTTTAAAACTTCCAGAGCACTCACTAAAATGTCACATAACTGGATGATCAGTACTTGGGTAGGATACCAATAACAGACCCAGATCCTAAGAAACTGAAAACAAAAAATCCCAAAAGATAATAAAAGTCCCTGAGAAAGGCAAGTCATAATTACTGACAATTTAGTGTTTTGACATGGAAATTCTAATTTACTGTACATTGTTTCAACACTGTTGTCACGAAGGCATTTTTTTGATACAATGTTGCCATCATTACTAAGATTTACTTTCATCAGTAACAATCTTCCTACAAAACAACCATCTATAAGTCAAATTTGGGCCATACAGATCATCAGAGAAATAAAAATTAGTACTTTTTTTCTATCAGTTTGGGTGGATTGTGAAATTGAGTGTGTGTTTTAATAACTAATCAAATATTATTTTATGAGGAATGGCTTACCTAACCAATGCTTCTCCAGAAGCAAAGGTCCTTTCCAAATCTGTTTACATTCAAAACAGATACAGGGCAGCTAACCTTTCTGCAGCCAGGAGCTTCATGTATATTTTATTATTTTTTAACTGAATGCCATGAATTTCAGCAATGTAAATCCTAGGTTTCTATTAGGTACAAAGATACTGCCAGGAAACATAATCATTGCATTTTCTGTAACAGGTCATTCTATTGTACATTACCATCAAGTTTTACAAATCATTTCAAATCCTGCCTTTCTTCAATTCTGTCATTTGAGTGCTGATTGGGGTCTATTAGAAATGTGGTTTGACTAAAGATTAGTTATTATTTACGTCAAACAGCCAAGTACAGATCATTCTTTTTAGGAAGAAAATGGTTATCATTTGTTTCACAAATGACACATTTTTTAAAAATCAGTAAAATTAGAAGATCTAAAAGAACAAATTATCTTAAGAAATCAAGTTGCTTCTTACACATCACTCAAGAATTAGGTTAATGTGATGCATCATTAGATTTTCCAGCTAACATGACAATATTGATTGGAAACTGGCAGCAGCAGTTTGACATACCTAGATATAATCAGATTGCAGAAAGCAACATTAAGGTGATGTACTGCTAGACTAATTTTTAATAGCCTAAGGCAACATATAGCTGTGAGCAATTATGAGAATGGCTGAGGGAATTCTCCACTCTTGCTATGATGAGGCATAGGTGCCAAGTGACTGAATCAAGCTACAATATTGTCCAAACACATTTATGCAAAATGTAAGGCCTACTGAAATGAATCCATGCAGAAATACAGCATTTGACATGTTGCAGTGTTTTGAATCTATATGTATGGACTGCTTCCAACAGTAAATGTTTCCCACAACTTTGGTTGCGTATAAGATTTTAAAATGTATACACAAGCACAACTAGTTTCTGAAAATACTAGGTTTATTCACATCCCAGTGATAAACAACCTTAATATGATGTTTCTGGAGATTTTCTGTAGGTCACCATCACAAAATACAAAAACCTAGAGCATAAACAAGCAGACAATTATGAACATTCAATGTGGTCTTGATGGAAATTAACAGTTTATATGGAAGTTATGAAATTTGAAAACGTATGTCATTTCCTAATTAGTACGAGTCACTGCTATTTCTATGACAAAGTAATGAAGGCACAGCCAGTGCAAGCAGACTTAAACCCATTTAAACTACTGGGCCAAAAAATACTTTGGTTGGTTCTCTGGGAAAGGATCTTTTCTAAACAAATAGTGGTCTCCGTCAAGAGTTCTGATATCTTCACAGCTGCAGTCTAATAGCTACATGACAACAGACTTCACTAGAACCAAACTATATATAGCAATGAATTAACAATTCATGCTTTAGGATTTACTGCATTCTACATATTGGCAGAAAAGTACTATTAAAATGCTAGGTACAAGGAACCTACATTTTAAACTGGTTCTGTCAGTTTGTTTTAACAAAATGTTTACTTAATTCTACCAAGATACAAAACATAAGGCTGTAAGTAACTAATAGTTGTATTTAGGCTATTACAGTGCAGATAATCCTCAAGGCCACATACACAGTTTCACTGCTGCTTGCATTCTGCTGGATTTTGATCCTTCTGTTGAAGAAAGAAAAAGATAGGTCGGTGTTCAAACAGATCTACTACAGGAATTTAAAGATTACAGGCAATAACTCAAAAATGCAATAAGCAATAGCACTTAAGATTTGTACACCACTTCACAATGCTTTACAACCCTCTCTAAGTAGTTTACAGAGTCAGCATATTGGCCCCAACAATCTGGGTCCTCATTTTACCAACCTCGGAAGGATGGAACGCTGAGTCAACCTTGAGCCTGGTGAGAATCGAACTTCTGGCAGCTGACAGTCAGCACAAGGAGCCTGCAATACTGCACTCTAACCACTGTACCATTATGGCTCATTACTCAATACTACCCAGTAAGGTATAAACTGATCACATACCTTTGGGTCATAATCTGGATCATTTTCTTCATCTGCTTCTTCCTCCCCTTCCTAAAATACATGTATAGTATATAAGTATATTTGGCCATGTAAATTCCCCTCAGTTACTTTTTTCTATAACTTTAAATTGCTAAAATCAATTAATTTAATGTTTATGAAATCCACAATAATGCCTACCTCATCATCAGCTTCCTCACCTTCTTCATCATACTAGAAAGTGAAAAAAGATCAATCATAAATGCATGAGCTCCAATAAGCTGCCTATCATTATTTTTAAGTAGATTTAAAGCCTTGAAAATAAACAGTTCAAATACACAATTTAAGTTAAAACCAATGAAATGTCCTATTTTCCACATAAGCAAAATTAGCATATCTTTCATTCAGAGGGATATTGTTATTCTGAGGAAATTTCTAGTGGCTTTTGAAGTTTTTGAAATGGCATCATAACTATTAAACAGTATAGCCCTCTTAAAACAGCACAATGTTCTTTAAGATCTCTGCTCCAAATATTTCTCCATTGTGATTCTTCAATTAGAATTGCTGCTTGTTTTAGTAGAAGTCTGTCAACAGTTCTTTTTAATGGCTGGTTAAAGTTTACGGTATCTATCTTCATGCCAACAGGTTTGGTATTTTTCATACTGAAGAACAATTTTAAATCCTCTCAGGAAAAGGCACTGGTCATTCAAAATCCATTTTTATATTGTCATATGGTGTACGTCAGATTAATATCTAAGCATTTCACAAATGGAACAACATACTGCACTATGGTTTGCTTCACACGTGAAGTCAAAATCAACCAAGGGCTTGAATTTATAAAAATAGAAGTCATGCTGTGCTTCACAAGACAAAATAGCAATAACCATACACCAGCAACAATATATACAAAGCAAAAGCTCTGAGTTATCTACCTAATGGGGCTTAGATATGTCAATATTTTTGTGAGATCTCAAAATTATTTAATTGTTAATTGTCAAGTGGTCTATTTGGTTTCCATATTTGTGATTAATGATACCTAAGCACCTTTGATCCCAAAAATCACTATTAAACTCTATAACAGAATACAAGTATCAAGAATGTTTGGTGTACCTCAAGGTGTGCCAAATTCTGTACTGAAAATGGGAAGCAAGTTTCATCCTGTTGTAAGATGTAGTTTTGAATTATTGGCTAAAATTAATTTAAATTGGAGCACTTTAGCTTCTATGATTCTTCAAAATGGTTTCATATCCTCCCAGTCTAATGGAGTAACTGAAATTTCAGTTTTGAGGCTTATCATCACAATACTCGACAGCATGCTAAGTTCAACAAAACTCAGATAAAGGCAAAATAGTGAATATTTAACACTGATCTTCAGAAATATTTTTGCTTTAATTCAAATTCATATAGTTGCAATTTTGTCACTAAATTCTCCTATTATCGGTCCTTAATTTCATTTGCTTCTATTTGCTTCTTTCCTATGTCCTGCGTACCACTGTTCAGCCTAAAAGGGAATAGTATGGTGAGTATATATGTATGCATATTTACTTACAGGCCAACCTAGCTTTAAATCAATTTAATATTAGAATAATTTTGATGTAACTGAAATTAAAGCACAACTTACATCATCGTCATCATCTTCAATGGCTTCTCCTGTAAAATACAATACTGATCGTGGAACTATGCGCTCTCGTAGAAAATGGCCAATTTCAAAGTCAGCTGCAAGAATTGCTTCAGCATCATCATCCTGCATACGTAGATTAATAAATATAGTGCCATTATCTGTATTTACTAAATGCAAGAACAATTTCATTCAACATCTTTAGTGTTAGCAACATATTCTATTTACCCTTCTCAATCTTGGCAATTTTAAGATGTGTCGATTGCAACTCCCAGAATTCCCCAGTAGGAATTCCAGTCGAAGACTTCTGGAAATTTAAGTTCATACTTCTTAAAAGTTACAAAGGTTGAAAAATACTAGTCTAGACACTACATTGTATAATTATTTTTTAAAAAATTACAAAAAAAATATTTATTGGCCTACAAAGAAATATTGAAGTCTTAAGTTCACAAAATATTTATCAAATTTGATTTTGGATTCTCCTGGCAGTTAATTTGCAGTAGTCTACAAAGTGTGTTAATTAAAATTTGTAGGAAGTATACGAAAAAAGCTTTGATTGAAGCTGCTAAGGATTACAAAAAGCAGGTGGACAAACGTAGATCACTCCAACCACCGTTTAAAGTAGGAGACAAAGCATATTTGTTAACAAAATATCTTAGATTGAAAATTCCTAGTAAGAAGTTGGGCCCTAAATTCTTAGGTCCATTCCCGATATCAAAAGTAATCAATCCAGACACAGTCCAATTAAGTCTTCCCCAGTTATTGGGAAAAATACACCCAGTGTTCAATAGTAATTAAAACCATCTGTTACATCAATGATAAGACCAATACCAATCGCTCCCTCTAAACCTTTAATCATACACATTATGAGATCAAGAAAATCCTTGATCCTAGATTACACCGAGGATGATTGCAATACTTGGTATTGTGGAAGGGTTACCCTATATCGGATGCTACTTGGGTTAAAAATTGGGATGTACATACAGATAGGTTGGTTAACCAATTCCATGAGGAATTCCCCAACCGAAGGGTCCTCTTGGAGGGGGGAGAGGGGGTTAAGGACATCGCATTAACATTGCATTGTGTTTTGTTTCTTATTTTTTTATAGGTGGTGAACTTCTCAAGGGGGGACGCCTGTCAGCTATGGAATCCTTATTCATTGCTGCCACATAGCTTGAGAAAGTGGGAGGGAGGTGATATTGAGTAGCTCTTAGAAGAAAAAATAGAATTCTTTCGATAGTTCAAGGTCAAGGAGTGTGGCGCAGAAAGAATTGGAACTTACTTTGGGATTGGTTCATGTAATGTGATTATAAGTAAAAAGGGGATGGTTTGTAGGTTGGGACATTGTAAGAAGTCAGGGAAACTTTTAGTTTCAGAATTCCACAGATGTGCCAGGTGCTATTCTAATAAAAGTACTTTTGAGATTATGCTTGTCTTGGAGTTACTGACCAGATGTTCCCTGGAATGCTGACACATACAATATGGGAAATGCTGTCTACATGTACTTACATAAATGGCAAGTATCCATTTACTGCCTAGATCCTTCACATGAACATGTATTATTGGTGTGCATGTATGCATATGTGTATCTATGTATCTGTATATATCAGCAAAGGGATACATTTATTACAATGAAAAAAAATTAAAAGTTATGTTTTCATTCAAAAAGAAAATCACAGTGAAACTTACCAAATCCCCACTTTCAGGAACTGAAATGAAAAAAAAGATGTAACATTATATATTTAAGAAAGCTACATTATTTAACTGCAGTAACTACCTGAAGCGCCCACTTTTTGTTTCCATGTAACAAGGTAAAAGATGTCCCAAACTATTGTTCAATTGCCATTATATAAAATATAATGTAAGCTACTTGGCTAAAGTGAGACAAAACGGAGGCACTGTTAATTTATGGGTATTAGAATACAGAGAAGTCTATTTCTGCACTCCTATTTAAAAACCAAGCACAGACAAAGAATATTTAAGTTTTGGTCTCAAATGTCTCCATTTCATGGGGATATCATTTGCATCACTTTCAGTATGTTTCTGTAAGCAGCATCTTATGATCATCTAGAAAATCTTAAAATGGTTTGGAATGAAATGCTTGAAATCCTGCTTTCCCACATAAACAGTTCCACCTTTTCAGTTAGCCTTAAAGTTTTGTTCCATGATGTTTGCTTTCAGAATGGTTTAAGCACAAGTCAAACTCTTCTCAAATAGATTATAGGATATTTATTTCTAGAAAGTCTTTTAAGTGTCAAAACCAACCGCCAAAAACATTCTTGATTTACTAGAGTTTTTTTTTCCATTTGGAACATTAGAGGAATTGTGTGTGTGTGTGTGTGTGTGCGCGCGCGCGCATAGTATTCAGCTTTGTTCGTAAGTACCCGCAAAAACTTAAGAGAAAATATACATACATACATACATACATATATATATATATAATAAAGTTAAGTTTACCTTCTGGAGGACTGAAAAAGTTGAAGAAGGAATCATTGGAAACTGTTTTTGTCACTGTTCTAACTGTACTATGATAGTTAAAGTGAACATGTAGGTATGTGCTTAGTTTCATAACATTCTTCCCCTTTTTCCAGTCTATTTGGCACCTATGGGAAAACTGTTATGAAACTAAGCACATACCTACATGTTCACTTTAACTATTATAGTCCTGGCACATAGTTATCACATAACCAATCACACAGCTAAACTGGATCCTGAATATAGAGTAATTCAACTGTATGAACAACAAAGATAATTTAGATTTCTCAGAACGTTAAGTCTTTAATACTAAGGAATGAATAGTACAGTACATATTACTTTTTCTGCACACAACATAAATAGGTTTTCTCCTTCTGAAAATTTTACATATATACTAAACAACTCAGAATTCTGCAATGTATTTAATCTGCCATAAAATTAAGATGAAAACACAGATTTATACATTTATACATTCCTTTATACATTTCCCATTTATTATTGCAAAATGAAAAATATACCATCCCAATCCAAAATAGATATTTGAATCCCAATGAAACTATGGCATTCAGGTAATCTGGCAAGTGGTGCCGGAAAGTTCAGCATCTAAGACAATTTAAATGGTTGCCTTAAATATATTGCACTGAACTTTATCCACTGACCCCCAAGGCAGCACAATGAAATATAAACACTTTAGCCTAGCATATCTAATAGAAAGCTAGGTTAGGAAAGGTTAGTCTAGGTATTCATCAGGGATAAACAATCATGATAATGAACTTAGAACAGATGCTATGAGAAAACATCTCCCATTATTCTTATAAATTTAAGCGAATACAACTGCTAGGGAAAAAAAACTAAAGCAAGATTCATAGTTCTAGATTCACAGTAACCTGAAAGCATGTTTCATATTCTGGGAATGTTAATTGCATTAATTATGTAAGAATTCAGCATGCAATGTTATAATACAGAAAATGTAAGTGTCTTATTTGTTAACATTGCTATTTCCAATACTAGGAGTGCTAGGCACAGAATATGTTTATTTTATTTACAGCAAAAAGCCTATTGGTGTGCCCACTTAAAGACAACCTACTGTACTGACGTCTGTACATTTATTTTATAACATTACAGGTAAAACTCGAAAAATTAGAATATCGTACAAAAGTTCATTTATTTCAGTAATGCAACTTAAAAGGTGAAACTAATATATGAGATAGACTCATTACACGCAAAGCAAGATAGTTAAGCCATGGTTTGTCATAATTGAGATGATTATGGCTTACAGTTTATGAAAACCCCAAATCCACAATCTCAGAAAATTAGAACTGACTTTATACCCTCCCCCCAAGTAACACATAACCCTGTAATTACACCCACGCACCTCCGCCCCATGCCTAAACACTCTAGTCAACCCCTTCCTCTGCCCTCTAGCTTCACATTAAAGAGATATATGAAATATGTTTCCAGAACCGCCTGCAGCAGCCGGTGCAGTTGCAAATCATTGCCCCTTCCACCAGCTGACTACAGAGCAGAACACAGTGGCCGAACATGGAGCCAAAACACCACCGCCCCTCCACACAGCAAGACCCCGTCAGGAAGAGGAAACCCAGCGGCCATATGCGCAGCCAAACCGCTGCCGCCACTCCACACAGCAGGACACCGGCAGAAAGGAACAGAGCCGGAACGGAGTGCCGTGGAAACAGAGCACCAAGCCATCGAGACCTTGTCGGGACGGGAACCTGGACCCAACAATTCACTGGACCCACTTCACTCTAAACAACTATGGTTTCTACTTTTAATGGTTGAAATCTCCCGGTCTTAGAAAGTTTAATTATAATCCATTTGCTGATGTAGGTATTATTTGCTATCAATTGATCCTTTATGAAGCAATGCCTGCTTCAATTTCAGATGATTCTGGTGCTCTTTTAGCAGACATCTTTTTAGCGCTGCTTACAGCTTTGCATTTGGTACTCTGGCTTCTCTTTTTGTCAGCTGTTATTTGCTTAGTGCACTGGTTCCTCTTTTTGCTTGGTGTTATCAGCTCCTTGTTCTATACTTTTTACTTTTATGGGTAGTCCTTGACTTACAACTGTAACTGAGTCCAGAACTAAGATGGTAAGTTATGCCAGTGGTTAAAAGGGTCATCATGTAACCATGACAGATTTTTCATTATTATTTTTTTGGGTGGTGGTGGGGATGGTTAAGCAAATAGTATGGTCATTCAAAAAATATTGTGGTAATTAAATGAATGTCATGGTCATTAAGTATGCCCAGTGGGTGTTTTTTCTGGAAACTGGAAGTTAACTCCTGTTTCTGGCAAAACCATAAACTGTGATCAAGTCATTAAGCAACCAGTTTTAAGTTGAGGACTACCTGTATGTAAAATTGCAACCTTTGATCTGAGTTTAGCTTATATCCTTTGAAACACTCACATGGTTTCTGGCTAAGATAACAGTTATGGGTGATCAATAGAAACAATGGTAAATTAATTTCAACATCATAATTTTAATTTTTCTTCTCTTCTTGTTCTCATCACCCATGCAAAGCAGAGAGATTGGGAAAGAAGGTAATACAAGAGAGTAAGCAAGCACACAACGGGGAATACACTGTGTATTTTCATTGTGTATTCCCTATTGTGTGTCTGCTTACTTTCTTGGAATTCCTTCCTCTCCAATCTATCTGTAAAGATGAGGGGAAAGAAAAACAATAAGGCAGTCATAGTACAATGTGTACTGAATATAATAGCAATTACGTGACTGAGAAACAGCATAAATGTACTTTTAAACAGTCATTGAATGAGGCAATTAGTAAACGGGAACTATAATTAATTTACAGTAGTCCTTGGCTTGTCAGCAATCAGGTTTTACATTTTAAGCCAGGTGGTCATAAAACATAATGTCACATGACTATGTCAGTGAAGGCAGTTCTGGCAGGCCTGGTTGCCATTGTTAAGTGAAGACCACAACTTTCTAGCGGCTTCCCCACCGACTCTGTGGAAAACCAGCAAGGAATGTTGGAAATCACAATGACATAACCTCAGCTCAACATCATTAACAGCAATCTGGGCATCAAGAACCCAGATCACAATCAAGTGACTATGGACACTGCAATGACTGAAACTACAAGAACCTGTTCAACCCTATCACAATTTTGAAGTCACTGAATAAATGACCCAAGGACTGCCTGTATTTATTTAAACACTTTATGAGGACATAGGTTCTTGACCACTTATTACACAAAATTGCACTTACCCTGTGCAACCCATAATTTCTGGTCCATCGAAGGAGAAAGGATCAGAATCATCAGGTTCTGACCTCATTCTGTATGTTTTTGTTACTACTTCATTTGTGAAAAATTCATTAGGTTCAAAGTGGAATTCTAAAGTAAAAGTCTTTGAAAAAGTACAAATATAAGTATACATAATTATAATCTGACTCACAAAGCAAAACTCCATTACATTCTCTATTAATTTTATTCTTTTATCTAAGGGATCAATAATTCTGCCTTTGACGTTATCAATTCTTAATGCTGTTGAACTGTAATTTCAATGAATCCAAGCAAATATAACCAAGGGAGCAAATATAATTAAGGGAGATTGATAACCAAGCAAATATAATTAAGGGAAATTGACAACTTTTATATTATTTTGTACAATATACTGCATTTCTTTAAGAAACAAAGTCCATTCTCCTCTCCATTTCTCCAAACGCTACAACAGGCTGAAAATTATGGCTGAATATGAATTCTGTATCTATTAAAGAACTAGTTGTCCCCTGTGTGTTACCTCAAAAGAAATACTAGTATTTTATATGCCATTAACTCCTTCCTTTTAGAGAACTTGCTCTGAAAAATTCCCCACGGTATAACTTCAATAGAACTCTCATCAAAATAAATTATCTGTATATGCTTAACTAGGCAGTGAACTTATAAATTCTTTAAAATTTTCCTTTTCAGGCATCCTTATGGGCTGAAGATTAAAAAGTTTCAGCAATTAGGGAACCTTGGTAAAAACAGTCTTTTGCTTTAAACTGATATAATGCTAATCATAATTAATGGGCTGGTCATTAGAGATAGCCATTTCTGATTACTTAACACTTTAATTTAGGTGTTAGTTTTTACTATTATGAAAAATTGAATTGTTACACATATCTTCAGTGTTTAATTTTGCTATGAAGCCACACAGGTCATGTGCAATCTATTGTGACTGAAGAAACACATATTCTCTACAACAGCACCTACCCTCTGGAAATGAGTTCCTCCCCAAGATGCAAATGGCCCCAGCTTGTTAGTATTTTGGAGGGCTGTAAAGACTTGGTTCTTCACCCAATCTTGTTGGCAAGGATTAATGTGTTTTCCTAGAAGGTGTGGCATGTTTCTTTTTCATTCCTGTCTTTTTCCTTTCTTATTTTTAATATTTTTACTTAGGAGCCACCCAAAGTCATTGGGAGTCGATTAGCATACAAATTTAATAATAATCTACAGAGAATGTTTTAGCTGCCTTATTATTATTTTTAACAATACAAGCTTACCATGGGTTCTCCAGCTTCTGAAAACTTCACTTTAATATCTTTTAAATGTTTCAGGATAGGCTCATCATGTTCCTATACATGTAAAGTAAAACTGCAATACATTAGGCAATGCTTTTTACACTTTTAATGCAATTACAAAGTAGGAAATAATATAATACAAAAGAGGAAAATCAAGAGCAGATTACATTTAACAAACAATTTTACTGTTAGTTTCTTTTAAAAAAATATTAAGTTTTCAAATTTTAAAAACATAAAATAGAACTTTATACATTGTTATCAACATCAAGACATTTTGCATCTCCTCACATTTTTCAGTATATGTATTTACTTATTCCTTTACCATTACATCTTACTCTTGCTATAAATCAATATCTTTTATCCTTACATATCAATCTTCTCCATAGTATATTTACATATTCCCTCATTCTTTTCCTAATTGCCATTTTATTTTCTTTTTATTTCTAAACCACTCATTTTACTGTTAGTTTCATAGGTACTAATATATATTTACCATGGAACATTTTCATAGAACATCAAAAACACTTGTGCAGAAATAAAGAATTTATCATATACTTAGTGCTATATTTCTACCAAACATGAGACTTTCAATCTGAAGAATCCCAGAAAGGATAAAACTACAGCCCAGAAGAAATATTTTAATAATGTCCATGCTACCTAGTTCTGAATAAAATATTCTAATTCTTAAAATTTAGTTTGATCAACATTTCAAATAATTAAGTTATTCTCTTACCTGAACCATATCACTGAGTAAATCAACATTCTTGAATACTGTCAGCCAAAATTCAGGAATTCCTTTAGGATCATCTTTTTCTTGATCTTTTTTCTCCTCTTCAAGCTTGGCCTTCTCTTTCATTTCCTCCTTGTTAAAATTAATAAGTTAATCTTTCTAATATTTGAGTGCTAAATACTTATCAAATTTAGTGGTATACAGCCAGCTACAAATATTGGGTGAACATTGTTTTACTTATTTAAAATATTTATATACTGTTTCCCATTAAGAAAAATCTCAAAGCAGTTTACAAAGTATATTTACATACCAGACAAGGAGCTACAATGTCCTTACTTTTAGGCTACATGATTTTCTACGGCTGTTGAAACTAATTTTGCTATCAGATGTAATTTTCAATTGGTTTTAATCTAATTAATTCACTTCTCTCCTATTAGTTTCAATGGGAGGGAATTTGAACAAGGAAATGAACAATATCAAAAGAAACAAAAAAACATTCTTCCATCCCTTCTGCTTCATAATGCAAACACAAAAAGGCTTTAGACTACCTTTCTACTAGCAACCCCATGAAATAAGGCAGGACTGTCCTTTAAATCTACTTCCAATAAAACACAGGTACTCACTGAAATTTCTTCTTCTGCGTCTGTTTTCCACTCACATTCTTCTTCAGTAGGTTCATAAACAGCATTGATTATTTCACTTCTCTGGAAGATCAAACCATCGTTCTTTCAGATTACCATGTTAATATGACTCAATACTTTTATAAGGTGGTAAAGCACAGTTTGTTTTGGAAATAAAAATTGCAAAATTAGAAAACCTACATGAATTTCAGGTCACTTTCAAGATTGTATAGTAAAAGCATACAGATTACCTTGTCAAATAAGGGCTGATAAAGGGTAGCGTATTTTCTTTCCAATTCATGAACTTCTTCATAAAACTTTGCTTCTATCTGTGCACATTTAACTTGAAGATTCTTGAGTGCATTTACTCGTCTCTTAACTACTTTAGGCAAGCTGTGGGAAGTAGAAGTGTATTGTATGATTACACTAACAATAATTCATTTAAAAATAAAAAATGTCAATATGTTGGTTGAAATGTATAATTTCTAGCACATGCAAAACTAGATCTATTGATATTACATAAAAATATTATAGTGACATATTCCTTCTCACAATTTCAGGAAAAAAATAGAAACATATGTTTCATATTATGTACTACAGGACTTGAAAATTGAGATTAAGCAGTTATCTATTATCTTTACATAGTTTTATTAAATACAACTTAACCGTATTATTATATTAACACATTATTGCTTTGTCTCACTTATTATTTCACTCACTGCCTAGAGTAGATTTGAAACAAAGTGACAAATTCAAAAGTTTAATCTCTAGAAAATTTATTCTCGCAATGTTTAAATTTTAAAGTTATATGAATCTAAAATTGACATCAACTAATATATTTTATCATAAAAGATTATCAGCCCTAGATAGGATGCTGTTAATACTACAGAAGTGCTTTTTGTGATCAACATTATTACTAATCCTATAATAATCAGTTAAAAATATTTAGTTAATGGATACATATACTGATTACATGCTTGAAAGCTATACTTTCTTCTACTTTTCAATTATTAGTTAATAATTATACTTTTTTCTACTTTGCAATATAATTGCCAAGATTACTTCTCTTAAAATCCACAAACAGGGAAACTCAGATAGTAATGGTTTGTAGTGAGTAACATTTTAAAATACAATTCCCTTTCAAAAAAAAATGTGAGTTCAAATAGCAATGTAACAGAGGCACATTAGCAAAAACTGGAAGTGAGAACGTTTTGCTCTTAAAGAGTATTTAAAAGAGGAAAGAGCAGTGCTCCCCCACAGATAGTCCTCCACTTACAATCACATTCATTTAATGATTGTTTGAAGTTACAACTGCACCGAAAAAAGCGACTGATGATCCATTTTCATAGCTATAACTCTTGCAACATCCCCAAGGTCTGTGATCCAAATCTGGATGCTTGGCATGTATTTATGGCAGTTGCATTGTCCTGGGATCACCTTTTGTGACGTTCTGACAAGCAAAGTCAAAATGGAAGCCACATTCACTTAACCATTGCAATGATTCACTTAACAGTGGCAAGTTGATTTGTTAAGGTTGTAAAATGGAGCAAAATCACTTAACTGTCTTGCTTAGCAATGGAAATTTTGGACTCAATTGTGGTCATCTCTGTAGTCTGTATGACGTTCATGGAGCAATCCTAAACATCAAAACTGGTAACAAAATTTGGTTCATGGATCCATGCTCCCGTACTCAGTAACTAATGCAAGAAGCAAACTAATAAGCACTGATCTGTGAGTCACTGATCAAAATTCCTTTCTGTAACTGTTTTATTAATTTATATTTCAAATTTCTGAACCTTTTTTAAGATCTTTCTGCCCTAAATCCCTAGTAATAACACGTGTTCATTACTGTGGAATTCATGTAATATTTTTCTCTCAGCCATCTACATTATTTATGGCTTTGGGGCTCGGTAGAACAATTTTTCACCAGTAATTCATAATCCCAAAAGGTAGGGGCATGTATGCCAGTGGGCATGTCACAAAATGATTTAACTAGAGAAAAAAGGAGTATACCACATTTGTTTTCATATTTATTACATAATATACAATTTGTTTATTCATATCAAATATATATTAATACCTATATTAAGCATATTTGTTAGTAAAACAAATGCAAAGTAAAAAATTAAAAAATATTTTTAACAAAATCCTTCATGAAACAAATGAATTTCTCTAATATTGTTTAAATATTGTATAAGCTGGATCAAATTGGAAGAAATATTTCCAATAATACAATATACTCAGATTGTTTTTTTCACATTGCATTTATCAACAACAGTTTAAAATGGGCTACAAAATTGGGGATACTGCTCTTCATGCTCAAACATGCCTATCTTCATTTTACTAATAAACATATGCAGCAATACTATTCTTTCATGATAAAAAGCTGCCAATTTCTAGAGCTTCAATAATGAGAACAGAGAAATTTAAGACACTTCAGCAGACTCTGGGTTGGTGGGATATTTTTTGGTTTGTTTGTTTTTTTGGTCTGTGGATGCATGTTTTAAGAAGACATTTAAATCCCAGTTTCTCAATAGAATTCACACCAAAATTTGGACTATAATTTATAAAAAGGGGCTACCAAACCTGCATTCCTACATGTAAAAGTAGGAATCCATAGCATTTAAATTATAAATAGGATTACAAAAAAGCTACAGGTCCCATCGAAGATCGTAATGCAGAATAGACCTCTCCCAAACTATCACATAATCATCTATTATAAGTCCCTTAAGGAAAGGAATCAAATACCACTCAGTATGCAATGTTTTATACAACTAAGCTTTCAAATGTAGGAAGAATTCTGTAATATTTGCTATTTAGTCCCAAGTGAACCAGCTAATTACACTCCTATCTGCTATTCAGAGGAAAAAGGCAGACAAGTATTAAACTTGCATAACAAAGCAAAATGCTTTTAGTGTGATAAATACAGCAAAAAAGTATCATGGCAAAGTATTATCTCTAATGAAAATTAGATAGAGACATAGGATGAAGGCAGTAAATAAAACATGTTAAAATAAAAAGATCTAAAGATAATGGAATTACTTTAGAAAAACTACGCCTGCAATTTTAGAAAGATTTTAATAGATGGCTCTCCTCAAAGGAGGGAAATAATGCTTTACTTGAATTGATTCTGTCAAGAAATGTATCTCCGACTTCCGGTTGCTCATAGTTGGTGTCAGAGCAAAATTTGCGATCGTAAGCGATTTCACTTCGAGCTCACTTGTTGAAGGGTCCTGATCGGAACCACCCTGGAGGGGTGATGAAGAAAGGGGGAATCGCAACTCCCCTCCCTGACAAGAAAAACCCCTTCCGAAGGCAAGTTGCAGCATCGGTCTAAAATGGCCACCCCGAAGACGAGGAGCAGTCCAGGAAACTAAGGCTGTGCTGGACTGGAGAAGCATCACGCGGAGTATGAACCAGGCAAAATACATGGACTTTAAGGTACCCCGGTATTCAGAATAAAAGGACTATTTGGAGGAAAGTGTGCAGAGGCGGCGACCAGAGAGAGTGAGAAGGAAATTTGAACTTATAAAATTGGCTTGAGCTATTGGAACGAATTAACTTGGAGGGGAAAATTCAGAGGAAAATATTTGACCACAAAAGCCTTGGAAATTAAATTGGATAATTATTGGACTTTTGGCATTAAATAGGCATAAATAAATGTTGGAATTGAATGTGTTGAAAAGAATTTAATAAAAGTTTTATAATTAAAAAAAGAAAGTAAAAGAAATAGTGGATTGTGAAAAAAGACTCAAACACGCCACTGTACAGGAAAAATTTCAGTGATTCTTTGAAAAGTGCTTGGTCTGTCTAATAAATTGGACTTTGGAATTTAAAAGAAAATAAGAGAAACTCCATCATAACAAAATAAAAACCCTGAAAAGTAATACCAAAATATTATAAAGGGAAAGATATTTGAAAAGATCTTTTTAGAACCACCAGGTGACTTCAGGAAACAGCTGGAAAACGATCTACTAGAAGTCCTAGAAATAAAGACTTAGGGATATTGATTGTTGAAAATAAATATAAAAGACGCTGGTTGAAATAACATACTGGATTTGTGGATTGGACATATATATTAAGGAAGAGGGGAAAAACAAAAAAGGGAAAAAAGGAGCAGACACAATGGGGGAATTATTTGCTGAAATAAGATTGGATCTACAAGACCTGAAGGAAATGATGAAAGTGAGACTGGAAATGTGCAGCAATATATTACAGAAATTAGAAATGGCGATTCAGCTTGTAGAAGAACAAAGAAAACCAGAGGGAGAGGAGGAATAAGGAGGAAACCAGCTTTGAAGTCCAAGTGGAGCAACAATCATTTAAGCAGGGGGGAAAAGGAATTAAAATTAAGTGGTTTGATGTGAAAATAAAAGGGGAAAGAGTTTGGAAAACAACAAAAAGGGAAGGGAAAAAGCAGAAAAAAGAAGTACAAAAGATAGATCAAGAGAGGGAGGGAGATAAAACAAATAACTGGAATGAGAAATGGAGGGGAATAATAATGGGAAAAAAGAGAATCAAGAGAAAGGACCAAAAAATAAAGAGACTCAGGAAGCAAACATGAATGAAAAGATATTATATTGTTATGAGAGCGAGAGATAATGGGTAAATAAGAATAGGGAAGGAGATTCCACAAGGTAATATGTGGTGATATATAAGAATAAGTACTGAAAATAGACAAGAGTGTAACTGATAGTTTTTTCTTTTCTTTTTTTTATTAAAGGATTATATCTACATTAGATATGGAATTCAATGAAATATGGAAATGGGAATTTATAACAAGATTATATATTGATTATTAGTGATGTGTAAAAATATGAGAATTATTATGGAAAGATTAATATCAGTTGCTATAATTAATTCATTAGATTAATACATTTGTAATGTATAGATAAGTATGGTGATTGAGAAAACATTATGAGGAATCTGATGCAAAATATGTGTATATCTGATATGTAATAAATAAGGAAATACTGTTATCATGTAGAATGAAGGTGGTAAGCTTGAATTAATAACCAAAGGGAACAATTTCTAGAATTAATAGCATAAGGATTGATAAAATTGCAAATATTACAGATTACAGCATTATGTGATGACCTGGGGCGTGACACAAAAATAACAAAGTCACAAAAATAGAATAAATTCCCTTTAACGCCTCCAACTTGGCCCCAATGTCCAATTATCCTCAGCTGGATAACAAACTCTTCAAAAAAACAGTCTATGAAGAGCAGAAATGCAGTCCGAACCCAAAGTAATTAGAAATAAAAAAACCAACACAAACCACACTGAAGTAATTAACACGACAGGCCAGGATGATAAACTGCTTTCAAAGACTTTCAAAGGATAATGCAGCACCCACAATTGGGAGGATGCCAAAACTCAGATAAGCCTTGACCAAGATAATGCACGCTTTGCTTCCAGCAAGGAGCCATGTGCAAACACCCCACTTATATCCTGTTCTCAGCTGCAACTAATGAAAGGGATCAGGGCCTTTTTCTCTCCCGTAAGCCACGTTGCTCCCTTCTCCGTTCCTCCCTGCGTGCCCTAGGATGAAGAGGGGGTGGCCCTGGGTCTTCCTCTGAATGCCCAGCCGGACTGTGCCCTTCCCCCATTTCTTCCACAGCCACCGGAGCCACACTCCCACTCCCTGTCAGCTGCTCAATCTCCCCCTCAGAATCAGACTCCAACAAGGGCATGACACAATATGGGATATGAATATAGAAATGAAACAAGAATTTTAAATAATACTGTAAAATAAGATATGAGAATATTTTAAGAAAAATGATAATATGAACTGTGATGTGATATGAAACTGAGTAAGTAACTATGGTCATGTTGTGTTGAGATGTGAAACCTGGAACCACACTGCTTGCCAAAGGAGAACTTTTATTTAAAAAAATGAAAAATAGAAGAGGAAATTGAATAGTGAAATTACTAGATATGTTTCAGTGATATGGTGATTGGCACTAGGAGTGAGTATGGAAATGTTGAAAAATTATAATTTAATGCAAATATGTATATTAAGAGATATGGTTAGCTTTATTAATTTTGTTTGTACTATGTATGAGGTATTGGTGCCACACTGTCTATGTATTGATGTGTATGTGTAGATTGAAATAAAAAACTTGATTACAAAAAAAAAGAAAAGAAATGTATCTCCTACATGTAAACAATTACATCAGATCTGTTCAGTTAAGACATGCAAACTATACCTGCAAAATCTTTTACTGTCAAGTAAACATGCAAAATATTAAACACAGTTCTATGTGTTAGTTAATTTAACTATCTTCAAACTGGCATAGCTGACACGCTACATAATTTTTAGTAGAGTTACTTGTAATAAAAAGCAAGCTTCTGTAACTTCTCAAAAAGTGTAATATTCATTGAAAGCAGCATCATTAAACCCAGGAAGAACTTACTGATCTTGGGTCAAGGACTTTTCAGTTTAGCAGAGGTTACTTAAATATGCTGTGAGAAAGAAAGCAAGCAAGATCACAGCACATCTGAGATCAATTATGGCCAGCAAAGTAATCTGTAAAGATCAAAATATGTCACGCACAAATGGATGTGTTCAGATAAACAGCTTCAGATTCCGTGACCATACCAAACAATTGGAGGAAGACATGATTATTTCTGTTGATTCTATATTTTGTCATTTCACCTCAGCTATTTCTCATGCTAGGATTCTATAGTTTCTATGAGATAGATTGAGCTGAGAGAGAATGGTTGATTCAAATTGTTGTCAGCAAAAAAGGAGCAGGGAAGAGTATTGGTTTGTTTGCCACCTTGAGCTGCCATGAAAAAAAGTTGGGATAAAAACATCTAAAAAGGGGGGAGGGAGACTATTTGCAGTAAGGGGAAAAAATTGGAAAAAGATGTATTTTAACACACACAACCTAGAACAGCCTATTTAAGATAATATGTCTTAGTCCAATCTTTCAGACATTGTTTCTAGGCCTCTCAGATAAGGTCAAGTGTAGTGTAACAGTTTTGTATGATAACATAATTGTCACACTTATGAAAGGTTTCCAGAACAACTTTATCTGTGATTGAATTTATCTGACGGAAGGGAATATCTACTCTAAAAGACCCCTATTATGGTATTTATGAGTAAATTGTCCAGCACAATAACAAATCATAGGAATACCCATCCATGATCTAAATCAGGACAAATCTAGAGCTACCTCACTCTGGCCTTATAGCTTAGTGCTGCTCTGTCATCTTTAATTCTGATAGGCAGTTCCACAACTATATTTTCCTTACTATTCTATTAATATATTACTAGCCTTGCATAACTTGAAATAGCTATTCTCCTCAGTTGATTCTCATTACGAAAGGGAAACAGATGATGAAAACAGAGTAAAGAGAGAGAACTTTGTGATGTAAGAATGAATCAAAAGTTTGGGGAAATGTTTTATTGTCACTTAACACATTTAAGATTTTGGAGTTAGAGTGAAGGAAGAAGGGATAAAATAAGGAAGACTTGGACAGCCTAGAACTGTGATGGCAAATCTAGGCACACATGCCACAGGTGGCATGCAGAGCCATTTCTGCGGGCACGCGAGCCCCAGCCAAACTTACCTGCACTGCGCATGTGTGCGCCTCCCAGCTGATTTTTGGCCTGTTTGAGGCCATTTTCGCCCTTCCAGAAGCTTGAGGGAAACCTCTGCAGCTTCAGGGGGCCAAAAAACGGACCTTCCAGAAATACCGGAAGTGCCAAAACGGACCTGTTTTCAGCCTGCTAAGGCTGCAGAGGATTCCCTTGAGAAGGAGGGCAAAAACGGCCTCAAATGGGCCAAAAATCATATGTGCAGTGCAGGTAAGGGAGCAGGACAGTCATGTTGCGCGTGCATGTGCGGGATGGGGGCGCACTGCACTGAGGCTGCTGTGACACACGCGTGCTTTTGGCACACCACAACAAAAAAGTTCGCCATCACTGGCTTAGAAGTACTCTGTTCTTAACACTCAATCCTCAATTCCACGAAGTATTATGGAATATCTGCATTTTAGAAACACTGATACTATTTCTCATATTATCATACAAATTTATATTATCAAAATGATTAACATTTGTCTATTTCAAGTAAAGCTACAAAAGCAGCAAAGCAGAATAAAAATTTCAAAGAAAGCATTATGTTCTAAAAAAGTCAAAGAAAACTGGAAGCAGTTATGCAATTGTAATGTATTTAATTACAGATTATATAAACTTACAATTGTCTTCTCTCTATATGCTCCCCACTATCTTTCATAAGAAAATACTTTTCTACCCACATACTTTTCTTCTCAACATTGTTAGTGGAATCCTATATAGATAACTAAGGAAACTTGAATAGGACTGCAGACTGTTCTTTTCTAAACCATCAATTATGAAAGCTTCTCTGAAACAGATTGCAGGTAGTCCTCAATCTACAACCATTCATTTAGTGACTGTTTGAAGTTATAATGGCACTAAAAAACGTGATTTATAACCAGTCCTCAACCAACACATTGTTCCCATGGTTATGGGATCAAAATTTGGTTGTTTGACATCCAGTACATATTTAAGTAGCTGTAGCAGTTCTTGGGTCATGTGATTGTCACTTACAACCTTCCCAGCAGGCTTCTGGAAAACAAAGTCAATGGGAAAGCCAGATTCTCTTAAAGACCACATGAATCATATAACTGTAGAGATTCACTTAACAACCATGACAAAAACGGTCATTGTGTGTGACCCACTTAACAACTGTTTTCCTTAACTAATCCTAGTCTCAATTTTTCTTGTAACCAAATTTTTGTTGTCAGTTGCACAATTTAACTACACAAATAAGACACATTCCTTTCATTATTTTTCCAAATAAGTATGTGATATCACACCCCAAAAAATAACTGATCAAGGAATAAGATGGTAAAATAATGGACTGTAATGTACCTTTCTATATATCCTGTGGGTGTTCCAACCAAGCCATCAAGCCTTTCCTGGAGGGCTGCAAGAATCTGAGGATTCTGCATCATTTGAACAGTTAGTTGGCGTGCTGAATAAAACAAAACAGATTTTTAAAAAATCTATTACAAAATACTGTTATCTTTGTATTTGTTTTAATAAACAACACAACATAAATAATGGTCCCCTCTGCTCATTGATTTAAGCTAATTAGATAAGATATATCAGCTATATTCATTGCTAGACAATAACACAAAAGAAATTACTTGTGTAAAGTCTCTTAAACTTTGCAGGCGAGTTGAAAAAATATGCATGTATAAATATTATTACAATATTCTTTTTCAAGTGTATAAATCAGGGAAACCCAACTGTAGGCTGCAGCCCACTACTTACATTCTCTTTATATGACCCAAACACTTCAAAGTATTTTGGTATTAGTCACACATTTCTAAATTCAATCAATATTCATACTGGATTCACCATTGGATACAATTCTCCTTTCTAATACATTAATTTCTTGAATAACTAAGAAATTCTCACCTCATCAACTTATTTTTATATTTTTACCAGCATATGCAGATCTTACCAAAAGAAGGTAGGCAGAAGCAAGACCTCATGTAAACATTTTTGCTTCTTTCATTAAATTCATTAATCATAGCAGATTACGTACATCCAAAACCTTTTACAGCATTTGCACAACTTGAAACTTCTCCATTCATTTTCCACCATGCTTAAATAAATATTTTACCAAGGTACACTAATACATCTATACACTTTTCAACCTTCCAAAACCTAAACAGTTTTCAACATTTTTATATAACTTGAAATTATTTAGTCCATTTCTGTTAAACACCAACTACTTGGTCTTTGATATATTATATTTTACAACTATATTCTTTGCTACATCATACAACTGAAGATTTGCTGCAATTCATTTAGATTTTCTGCCAACCATATTGCTTTATCTACAAATTCGTATCCTCTATCAATTCATTCATATCCTCTACCAATTCCACAAGCATTCCTTATATATTTGTGCATAAATACATAAATAATCAGGGAGCATCACATTTTCTTTTGTTACTCCCTCTATTTTTAATTTGCTAAGCACTCCATTTATTGTCCCACATACTTCATTTCTTCCATAAACATTCTTACAGCAACTGGACCTACATATCTGTAGAAAGCATTACACAATTCGACTTGTCATTATTGTACACTATCTCTGAATCAACATCCATACAATTAAACCTCCATCCTATAATCATAAATTTCTTGATTTGCTGCAGAATAGAAATCTGATCCTTATTACTTTTGTCCTGCAGAGGATACTGTACTCTCAAAATTTTGCTGTCAACTTCTATATTTCAATCAGAAATCTGGAAAACATGTTCCCAGCCACAATCTACCTTCTATAGTTTTTAAGCATTTAAGGTTGCTTCTTTTTTTGTCAAGGAAAACATAAAACTAGTCACTGCAAAAGGAAACCAAGTTAACAAAGTACGGTATGTTTATGAGAATGGGCGTTGGCTTACCTGAACGCAGTTTCTCAGCATGCCTTGGGATAAGCCACACATGTGGGTTGAATCTGCCTTTCTGCCCAGAGACTGAGTCATCAATCTTTGCCACGCCTCTTCCTATTGGGCCAGGAAGCCCCCAAGCCCCAGTCATGATGAAGGCGTAGCCACTGATGTTCTTCCTGTGATGTTGGCTCTGCCTCCCACCTGGACACTGGACCAGATGATTGCCAGGATGGGAGTGGATTATCCCAAAGCATGCTGAGAAACTGCGTTCAGGTAAGCCAATGCCTATTCTCCAGCATGCCTTTGGGATAATCCACACGTATGGGACACACCAAAGCTAGCAGTCCCTATGGGCAGGAAGAAGTCTGGTCCTGTGCACTCCTATTTGTATGCACTCGCTGTAGTCCTCTTCTGCCGAAAACCCCTGTTCTCTCTGAACCTCCTCCTCCATCCCAGATGCCCTGCTTCTGATGGAGTGGGCTGGAGGGGCCTCTCTCTGGTGCCTAGATCTAGATAATTCAGATCTTGGGGAAGAAGACTGGCTCCTCCCCCTCAAGGAGGAGGCTACCCCATGAGAAATGGCCTGAGCAATAAGGGCCTTAAGATCCTCTGATAATTCTGGAGCCATTCTTTCTGCTGAGTGCATTCCCGCTGCAGTTGGAATAAAGGAGGCCTCAGGTGATCCAGTCCTGTCTCTGGTCTGCAATTCTGCAGGACTAGGAAGCATGCAATCAAAAGGAAATCTCTGAGTTTGAATTTCCTCAGTAGGAGGGATAAATTCCTGTTTCCCATCTCCCTCTGGTGACCAAGTCCCTGAAACTGCAGGCAACTCCTGTGCTAATGGCTGCTGAGGGGAGGGACTAACAGGCCTTGGGCTGGGGGGAGGGGGAATACCTCTTCTGGTCAGCTTGCTTCTGAGCTCTGGAGAACTGCTTTTCCAATGCTCTTTGCCTTCTTTCCTCTGCTCTTGTGGGCTTTCTGGAATAAATAGCCTTTGCCTTTAATCTTGTTAGCAGCCTCTTTACTTGCAGATCTGGCCTTCCTGGGACTCTGCTTGGATCATTTAGCACTCATGGGCTCCATGCTGCAATTGCCCAGATTGCTGGGAGGAGAGCTCTCTCGATCCTCCAATCCTACTGCTCCAAAGGGAATTAAGGTCTGGAAGCCTTCCCTGGGCTGTGACAGTGGTGGACTACCAGTCTCCTGAATAGCCTGCACAACTCACCACATGGCCAAAATGGCCACTGCCGGCCCCCAAAATCAGCTGGAAGTCGCAAAAGCGAAAGCGGCTGCTCTGGAGCTACCCGATTAAGCCTGGGATCAAAACGACATGCTTCAGCACCCCCTCCCCCGGGGTTGGGGGGTTGTTGGGGGCTCCCCCTTGACTGCCTGGGCTGTTAGGCCTTCAATTGATAGTTTAGGGGCCCGCAAAAAAAATGGTGCAGGCAGGATTTCCAATTGCTGCCTATTTACAATGTTTTGGATGCTTTTTGCAAACCTTTGGGAAAATCCACAGTATAAACTGCTGCTTCTGCTGAAATTGTTGGAGCCAACCTTTGCCACGTCTATAGGGCCAAGACTGAGTTGTGACTGGGGCTAGGAGGCTTCCTGTCCCAACAGGAAGAGGCATGACAAAGATTGATGACTCAGTCTCTGGGCAGAAAGGCAGATTCAACCCATATGTGTGCTGATACAGTTCTATAGAGGAATTATTGAGTCTATCATCTGCACCTCTATAACTGTGTGGTTTGGTTCTGCAACCCAACAGGACAGACACAGACTTCACAGGATAATTAGGACTGCAGAAAAAACAATTACTACCAACCTGCCTTTAATCGAGGACCTGTATACTGCACCAATCAAAAAGAGGGCTGTGAAAATATTTACAGACCCCCCTCACATCCCAGACATAAACTGTTTTAACTCCTTCCCTCAAAACAACGCTATAGAGCACTGCACACCAGAACAACTAGACACAAGAACAGGTTTTTCCCAAAAGCCATCACTTTGCTAAACAAGTAATACCCTCAACACTGTTCAACTATTACAAAGTCTGCACTACTATTACTATTAATCTTCTCATCATTCCTTATCACCCATCCCCTCCCACTTGTGACTGTATGACTGTAACTTTGTCGCTTGTATCCTTACGATTTATATTGACTGTTTCCTAGTATGATTTGATTGTTTATTATACTCTATGGCTATCATTAAGTGTTGTACCTATGCTTCTTGACTCTTGACAAATGTATCTTTTATGTATACAGAGAGTATTTGCACCAAGACAAATTCCTTGTGTGTCCAATCACACTTGGCCAATAAAGAATTCAATTCAATTCAATTCAATTCAATTCAATTCAATTCTATTCCTATTCTAATTCTATTCTAATTCTAATTCTAATTCTATGCTATTCTCCCAAAGGCATGCTGGAGAAATTTTGCATTTAAATTTAGCGTGTGTTCGTTTTGAAGACTGAAATCCTGTGTGTATTGACACTAAAATAAAGTTCATTCTATTCAGTGGAAGTCTAATGATATGTGGGAATGACCTTGGGAGACAGGGCAAGAGAATGGTCAGATACGACAACTCTGCCCACAGCATAAATATGGGCTGGGCAAGAGGCTAAAAAGAGATCTCCCCTAGTTCTTTGGGAAGTAAAGGAAAGAAATGCTTTCAGACTTGCAAGATGTTAAAACAACAATAAAATAAAATTAGCTTATCTAGTCATACTTCCCGTCTGGTCTACCTCATAATGCTGACAGCAGCTTATTTAGAAGTACTTTTCACAAATATTAAAATATTTGACTGTAACCTACAAGGCAAATACTGCATTTACCAAGGTGTTGTTTCCCCCACATCACTAATAGATGTTTGCTTTATTAGGCTTCATATTACATTTGAAAATGTGCATTTATAGTAGTAACTGTTTCTGTCTTTACCTTTACTGTTAGCATCCTCACCAGATTCTTCCTCTTCTACTTCTTCAACATCTTCCATATCTTGCTGGTCAAGTTCAGCCTGTTCTTTGCTATTCAAAGCAAGAATTTTCAATTTGTTATCAGATTTTTAATTTTTCTTAAAAGTTAACACTTCAAATACATTATGTTATCAACATTCTGATCAAAATATGTACAGAAGTTAAGGTCTTTCAAATCAATTTACTTAATGCAAAAATCATCAGGTTCTCTTATTTCAGCATTCTGCTTCAACATTAAAAACCAACTTTAGCAAAAGTGGAAAATATTCTTGTTCCGCTTATGCAACCCTTGGATAATTTGCAATTAAATGTGTTTCAGTTTAAGATACTGAAAATATTTCAGGGGTAGTGTGCAGTATATCTTGCTTTGTGATAAGCTTCTGCAATTAAAAACACCTAAATAATATGTATGTGAGCATTTATGAAGCATTACAAAAATAAAAATGTATAAATATTAATAAAAAAAGACACTCCTCAAGCTCTTGGGTGCTAGATGAATCAATGTATCTTCCCTGCAAAAAGATCATATGATGTAAATTTACATTATGTTGAATACACATGAAGATCAAAATTCTCAGCATTATAGTTACATAAAGAATCTAAAGTGCCAAAAATGATAGATGTTACTGGAATTTGGTTTTGTAAGGCTTCACATTGATTTTTACTGTTCTGATGGATTATACAAAAGAATATAACTTGAATACACTGCTTGCAATACAATGCTCATTTAAATATTTATGCATCATTTCCAGTTATTCTAACTGCACTTTCCCCTTTCCATTTATATTCTCCAAATGTATATTGCCTTGCCTTTGGCACACAAAACACTGTAACTGACATTTTTAAGAAAAAGTAAGACAACATTGTCATTCCAATTTAGCATTATTGATCAGAATGAAGAGCAAAGTGTCAGGTCAAGCATAAAGCTACTGGTTTCGGAATTTTTTTTAAAAAAAATTATATAACAACATGAATCTCACAATCAGTTCTCACTGGAACAGAACTTAAGACATGTCATATTCACTACTTTGCAAATGGTATTTATAAGTCAACACAACAAAACACTGATATTTTATTGTATCCATATGTAATCTGAATTCTATTCTTCTATTCACTTGTTCCTTCCATATTTATGTTGAATTCTTAAAGGGCAACAATCTTATCTTGTATAAGCCCACAAGAATCCTTGGGATAAATCATTATTTTAAGCAAGTTTAACATTGTTACATGTAGATATTCTCAGGCACCCTAAAATTAAATCGTTGTTATGGTACCATTATTGAAGGAAATATAGAAAAAGCTGTTTTAAAAAATGTACAGTAGAGCTTTGGGTCATGACCATAATCTGTTCCAGGATTTCGGACACAACCCAATTTGGTTTTGACCAAAAGTACCACCATCTGCGCAATTATGGATTTAAATCAAGGACTACCTGTATATATGTCCAACAATAAAATCTCATTATTAATACTTCAAATAACTTTGTGCAGTAATACAGAAGTGGTGATGAACAATCATTATACTATACATAGCGTAGTAATATAATACATATTAGTTTTTAACAAGCAAATCTGATTTTAACTGAAATAACATTGAGTAAGATTATAAGAAGTATGCTGGTTATAAATATCTTGAGAATGATTAGGCTGCTTATAAAAACTAGGCCTGTGCGTTACTCTGACTTTTAGTCTGAAAAAGGTGCTTTAAAGCAGGGACAATGAACCCCCAAAACATCTCAAAGCAATCACACAATCCTAAAGAAATAAAAGCTTCTTTAGGAAGAGATATGCAAGATTTGTGTGCTCCAAAGCGACCTTTTCACAACTGAATGAAAAGCATGACACAATCTTAAAAAAATATGTCAAACTTCTGCTTCTTTACAAGTCTGAGGCTTCTATGTTTAACTTCAGAGTTATGCGCTTAAAACCTAAGCTGAGGACAACCTACATTCTCTAGCAAATTTATCAAATTATTTTTGCAGTTTATTCATTTTAGGGAGTAGCCATTAAGTGAGCAAATAGTAAAAGCATTTTTGATCATTAAATATTATTCTACCACAATAAATGCTTCAAATATATATATTTAATAGAAAAGCATTTTATTTATATTGTGGTGGAAGAGGAACGTACTGTTCCTTTGTACTTTATGAATTGAGTTATGATATAGATATTTGACGATCATATTTCTATCTCTTTTTTAATTTCAAAAGTTTGTCAAAGGTCATCTTTGTTCATCCTTTTACAATATGAAACAAACCACCATGACACATTTGAATCAACTTTTTGAATTTAAAATACATTTACTTGCAAACATAAAAGCATTGCTATCTAATATTTAAAGCAAATATGCATAACTGCTCTGAATCTGGCATTAAATGTGACAGATAGTAAGTTGAAAGTTAAAGATGAATTTTGCAGTTTTAAGCGCTTTCAAAAATTAACATCAGTCAAAATGGGGAAAAAGTTGTATGCTTACTTGTCAATGTCTGCCATATTTTCAGATCGCAACAAACCTTTAAGAAAAGGAAAGTAATAATTTAAAATTGCTTTAAACAGAAATTATACTAATGTTCAACTACCGTGTTCCTCAGAAAATAAGGCCGGGCCTTATTTTCTTTTGACCCCCCCCCAAAAAACAGCTAGGCCGTCTTTTCAGGGGTGACTTAATCCCCCCCGTGCACCCTTGCCTAGAGTGCCCCATGGGCAGCCATGCTTCACCACCAGCCACTCCTAAAGGCTGACCATGGTGGAGCATGGAGAGCTCCCACCCCCGCCAAGCGCTTTTGCTGCAGATCCAGGTATGGTGCTGGCTGCAGGCTGGGTCAGCGGGCGGGTGGCGGCAGCGTGGATGTCAGCCTTGGCAGCAGCGGGGCACTTTGCATCATAGGACCTTCGGCAGCTGCCGTTGCCACTTCCTCTGCCGCCGCTTTCCCTTCTGCCCTCGCCGTGGCTTATGCTGCATTCAGAGTGCTGCCACTGGGCAAGACGCAGAGGCCGGAGTCCCTGCTGGACATCGCGGCAGTAGTGGAGAAGTGGCCCTTCCAGTGGGTGGAGAAATGGTTCGAGCATTCTTCCACCAGCAGCGTTTCAGCTGCTTCTCAGGCAGGGAAGCAGCCTCCATAGCTTCCACGGTTCCCACCGGCACTGGCAACTCTCTTGCCAGTGCTTTCCCCAACAACAGCGGCAGCAGTGGCAGGACAGACCCCGCTGCCAACGAGAACCACCTGCCCTCCCGCAGGGGCATCGCTTTGCTTGATGGTGGCTGCATCGGCAACATCCTGCAAGTCGGTGAGTCATTTGGGCTTCAGTGGGTGGAAGTGGCAGCAGGAGGGTGATGCCATCGTTTCCCCCCACACACACTTTGCTTCCCGTCCCAGAGCTTCGGGTCACAGTCTCGTCCCCTGTACGGTCAGGCGCTCTCCTCTTGCTCCAGCCGCCCGAAACGCCCCGTGGACCTTTTCCCCCTCTTTTAAGTTGGGCATTGGTAGAAGTTACCCTGAACGCCCTTTTTATCTATGCTGCGAGAGAGCCCAGGATGGGTTGACTCCTTCCTATGACATCATTTAGATGAGTCTGTACTAAGATATAAAAGCCAGCCCCCGGGAGAGACCCCAGCTTTGGCGAAGATACTTGACAGACTGAAAGGTGTCTCTGAAAGCCCAAAATAAATACAGAAATACGTCTTACCCTCTCCGGACGAATCAAGGGAGGGGCTGGGCTCTCTCGCAGCATAGATAGAAAGGGCGTTCACGGTAACTTCTACCAATGCCCATTCTCCTCCATGCTGCATTGAGAGCCCAGGATGGGACATACCAAAGCTTGCATGTCCACAGGTGGGTCCTTGTCTGGTTCATCACACTGACTGTGGAACCACTCGTTGAAGCACCCATTTGCCGAAGGCTGCAGTCGCCGAGGCAAAAGCATCCAGACAATAGTGTCTGATGAAAGGAGACGGGGATGTCCACGTAGCCGCACGACAAATCTCCTCCAAGGATGCTTGGGTCGCCCAGGCAGAAGTGGCCGTGCTTCTGGTAGAGTGCGCCGTCAGACCTCAGGGAACCGGAAGTGCCGCAGCTTTGTAGGCCTGCTCAATGCAAGACCTGACCCACCTGTTAATAGTAGGAGAAGAGGCCTTGTGCTCCAAGTGAGAAGGGAAAAAGGAAACAAACATGGCTTCCGACTTCCTGAAGTAGGAAGTCTGCTTAATGTATATTCTAAGAGCCCTTCTTACGTCTAGCGTGTGTCACTGCGGCTCTAAGTCATGGTGCAGGAGAGGACAGAAGTCAGGCAAAACAATGTCCTGGGACCTGTGAAACCAGGTGTTAACCTTCGGAATAAATGAGTGGTCCAGACGAAGAACAACCCTATCATCGTGAAAGGAACAAAGGTCCTGTCTGATGGAAAGAGCACCAAGCTCGGAAACCCTCCTGGCAGAAGTGATGGCAACAAGGAACACTACCTTCAGAGTCAGGAAACGGTGAGACATTGTTCTAAGGGGTTCAAAGGGGGGGCTTTGTAAGGGCATTAAGGACCAAATGAAGGTCCCAGGAAGGATACCTGTGAACCACCGGAGGGTGCAGGTTGGAAGCCCCTTTCAAAAACCTCCTGACTGAAGTGTGATGGGAGAAGGAAGGAAGTGAACCCCATGAAAGGACTGAGGAGAGGGCCGCAACCTGCCTGCGTAAGGTGTTGGGGGCCAAACCTTTCTCCAGCCCATGCTGAAGGAAGCTAAGAACTTCTGCCAACTGGGCTGAAGCAGGAGAAAGACCCTCCCTAAGGCACCATCGGGAAAAAGCCTTCCAGGTGGCATCATAGATGTGCCTTGTAGAAGCCAGAATAGTGAGGAATAGTGAGGAAGTGCCACACGGTCAGCTTGAACCACTGGGGCTCTGGGTGGAGCAGGGCCCCCTGGTGAAGGGAGATTAGATGGGCAGGGATCCTCCAAGGAGAAGCCACCGATAGGTTGACCAGGTCCGCAAACCAGGGCCTCTTTGGCCAATAGGGTGCCAGGAGGAGGAACTCCGCACGTTCCTCCAACGTCTTCCGAATTACTGCTGGAATGATGGGAAGCGGGGGAAAGGTGTAGAGGAGACCCTTGGGCCATCTGCACCGAAGAGCATTGGTCCCCTCCGCTCCCTGGCAAGGAAACCTGGTGAAGAATCTGGTGACTTGGGTGTTTTGAGGAGTGGAGAAAAGATCCACCTCCGGTGTTCCGAATCTGAGGGAAAGATCCCTGAATAGAGACGGAGGAATGGACCATTCTGCCTGGTCGACTAGGCTCCTGCTGAGTCGGCCTGGGAGTTGTTGACCCCGGAGATGTGGTCTGCCGAGATCGATAACAGGTGTTTCTCTGCCCATAACCCCAGCCGTAGAGCCTCTCTCATGAGGGCTTTGGACCTCGTCCCCCCTTGCCGGTTGACATGAGCCTTTACGGCCATGATGTCCATAAGGACTAGAACATGAGAGCCGGTCACTGATTGCCTGAAATGCTTGAGAGCCAGAAATATAGCTCTGAGCTCTAACCAATTTATGAGAAGGGTCTGTCCCGATCTGGACCAAACGCCCTGAGCTATATGGCCCTGCATATGGGAACCCCAACCCAGGAGGCTGGCATCGGTGGTTATCACTAGCCTATCTGGGTCCCTGAACAGGAGTCCCCTCCAGATAGATGGGGAATGCCACCAATTGAGAGATCTCCGGATTTGTGGTGGGAGCGAGACCTTGATGGATGAGTGGCTGGTTCCTGCTCGTTGGTAGGGAAGCAGGAACCATTGGAGGGCTCGGGAGTGGAGCCGAGCCCACGGGACAATGCCAATACAGGAAACCATCTTCCCCAGAAGTTTGGACAGCAGCAACAGGGGGACAATTTGATGTTGCTGGATCTGGCTGATGATCTCTGCAAGGCTCTTTCCACGAGCTGGGGACAGGAAAACCTGGCACGACATGGTATCGATGACTGCTCCCAAGTGTTGCAATTTGGTTGTAGGAGGGAACTGGCTCTTTTTGGTGTTGATGGAAAATCCATGGCTCTGGAGACATGAGAGGGTAATTTGCAGACCCCGATGGGCCGCAAGGATGGAAGAGGAAAGAATCAATATGTCGTCCAAGCAGCATTGGATCCTCACTGGAATAGAACGCAGAGATGCCACCAATGCTGCCAGAACCTTTGTGAAGACCCTTGGAGCCGATGAGAGGCCGAAGGGAAGTGCTCGATACTGGTAATGGGTATTCTGATAACAGAAACAGAGAAACTGGCGATGATGAGGCCAAATTGGGATGTGGAGGTAAGCCTCAGTGAGATCAATGGAAGAGAGGAGGTCACCCTCCCGAACGCTCTCTAAAATAGAATGTAGAGTCTGCATTTTAAATCGCCTGTATTTTACAAATTGGTTGAGAAATTTTAGATCAAGGATGGCTCGCCACCCCCGAGGCTTTGGGAACGATGAAAAGGCAAGAATAAAGCCCACATCCCCGTTGAGACGGGGGAACAGGTTGAATAGCCCTGATTTCAAGAAGGTGCTGAATGGCCTGATTCATGAGGGCTTGCCTGGAAATGTCCCGAGATACAGGACAGATTAAAAAAAAAAATTGGGGGGTGGGGTTAGGAAGTCCAATTGTAACCCTGACCTAATAGTGCTGAGCACCCAGGCGTTCGTCGTTGACTCCTCCCATTTGGAGGCAAAGAAGGCTAGGTGACCTCCGATGGGTAGGGAGAACGAGGGATTACTTAGAGCGACGGAAGGAACGACCCCCTCCCCCCCGAAAGGGCCGTTTACCAGCAGAAGGTTGTTGCCTGCCAGATGTTTCCGCCCGTTGGCCTTGGCGATGAGAGCATGGCCTGTGAGAGTGGGGGAAGCGAGATGAGGTCTCCGCTCAGAAGGTAGGAGGGCGATAAGGAGCAGGGCGATAGTGGGCCTTCTTCCCAGAGGAAGAGAGGATTTTACATTTATCTCTGGTTTCGATGAGATAAGGTTCCAGAGCATCGCCAAAAAGCTTATCGCCTGCGAAAGGAACTGAAGCCAGCTTCCATTTTCGGTGTGACTCCGCCTGCCAATTTCGGAGCCATAAAAGTCTTCTTGCTGCTACAGAAAATGCCATGGCCTTGGATGCAAATTTGGCGGAATTGAGAGTGGCATCCGCAGTGAATTCCGCCGATCGTGTTTACGATCGCTCCAAACTGCAGGCGTGGGGGAGGTCTGCAGACGCTGCCCAGCTTGCCTGCACAGAGCTCTGTGGCGCTGCTCCCAATGTTGCAGGGCTCTCCTGAAAGAGCAGCTGCCCAGATCCCTGGGAGCTGCTTGAAGAGAGGAAAGAAGTACTGAAGATCGCTGGTGATTGCTATCTAACAGAACGCTTTAAGAGACACAGCTACTGACTGAAAGGAGCGGAGTCAAAAGCTGGGGTCTCTCCCAGGGGCTGGCTTTTATATCTTAGTACAGACTCAGTTATGACGTCATAGGAAGGAGTCAACCCATCCTGGGCTCTCGATGCAGCATGGAGGAGAATTGCTTTATTCTCATTGCCTCTGTCAGTTCCCTAGGAATACAGTCTGGCCGGGCAGCTTCCTCCCCCCACCTCCTGGTAGTTTTAAAAAAGGAACCGTCTATCTGTTTTTCCCTTCAAGCAGAGGCAAACCTTCCAATCCAAACATAGGAGAAAGGGAATCATCCTACAGACCTCCTTAGAAGTATGAATGAAGTGGCTGAAATGCTGCTGGTGGAGAAATGCACTTGAACCATTCCTCCACCTGCTGGAAGGGCCACTTCTCCGCTACCACCGCGATGTCCAGCAGGGACTCCAGCCTCTGTGTCTTGCCCAATGGCAGCACTCCGAACACAGCATAAGCCGTGGTGAGGGCAGAAGGGAAAGCGACGGCAGAGGAAGCGGCGGCCAGCAAAGATCCCATGACGCAAAGTGCCCCACCACCGCTGAAGCCGTCTTCCACGCTGCTGCCGCCCACCGCCCCGGCCTGCAGCCAACACCATACCCGAGTCTGCAGCAAAGGCGCTTGGTGGGGGTAGAGTTCTCCGCAGTCCATGATCGGCCATTAGGAGCGGCTGGTGTTGAGGCATGGCTGCCCGTGGGGTGCTCCGAACAGCAAGTTCCCCCTGCCCTTCCCCCCATTTCGCATGTTTTAAAATAGGCCTAAATTTTGGGGGAGGGGCTTAATTTCACCGTATACCTAGAAAACATGCTGGGCCTTCCTATTGTGGGGGCCGTGTTGTTGGAGAAACAACAGTATCTTGCAATGGATCTGGAAGAGATATGCTATTGTAACCATTTTTAAGCCTATCAGAACCATGGTCTTCCTCTTTTTGTATGATCACAACCAATGTATTAGGTTGAAAAGTCTTTAAGTAATATTCCTAAACTACACTATGAATGGTGGAAGAATCCAAAGTTATCTTGGTACAGAAAAAAGACACTTATGACTTGATCATCTCCTAACAACTACAGGGAGTGCTATACTACAGAAGTAATTTTGATGTTTCAAACCATAGTTTGCACTCTGAAAAGAAAGTTGTCTGTGTATTCAAAATTGTTCTGCAATACTAAGGTAAACCTATCCACAAAGATTAGCAGAAGCAAACACTGGAAATGCAACTGATCTGCAACTGATTTCAAAATAGATAATTTTAATTGATATTGCTGCGACCAATTGTATTTGTTAGTCATCACAATTAACTCCCTCTTATCTTTATTAACAAAGAGTATGTGTGATTATGGCATGTAAAATTTATTAACTTCTTTCTGTGCAAATTGTAACATTGTGTTCTGAAACATTGTTCTTACTTGAAGGATCTTATTCATCCTAGCACTTGCTTCTCCAATATTGTTATTCATTTGCAGAGATATCCGTGACAGACAGACTCACATAACTGGTCATTGTTAACTGAGCAGGGTTGCTTCTTGCACATAAGCTGCATACTCAGGAATGCCAGACTATATTAGATAACAATTTAAAGTATTTGTATTATTGAATTCTGATATATTGTATTTTTTCCCACCAGAAGAACAGATATACAAAATTGTTATTAGAACTTTGGACACATTTAGTTAAAACAATATATTTAGTTAAAAGCAATTAGATATTACTAGTAAAGGCCAATTTTTCCATTAAGTTATCAAATAGCAGGTTT